AGAGGAAATGATTTTTTTTTTTTTTTGTTTCCTTTTTTAAATAGGGAAAGATAGATATAATAAGGAAATAGTAAAATGTGTGCAAGTTGCTAAATATGGTCAGCAGGTCTCTTCTTTTAGGTTATGTTAATAAGCAAGTTGAGATCAAAGTTGTGTTCTCAAGTGGGATTTTTATTTATAATATACATACAAGTAGAGAGACCATACAGACCCCATAACCCCTGAGGACTTATTGTGGGGTAGTAGTATATGATGTTTGTCTCATTTTATTTCTTCCTTTTTTTTAAATTTATATTTTATTTCAGTTTCTTGCAAATAATTGTCAACAATTTATAGCATTTTAACGTTTTGCGTATTAATGCATAAGTCATTTAGCCCATTTGATTGATATATAAAAATATTAACCATCTGAGTAGACTCATGCGGCTTTAGGTTCACTTGGAGCTAGATTGAACTCACTCCATGTTCATATCATATTTCATATCCAAATTAATATAAACTATTTTAATAGATAGAGGAGAGAGAGAAGAAAATTTGGTGGTACAATTGCTTTCTTATTTGTGAGATTATTTGTTTATCCGAGTAATGTATTAAATGAGAAATAAATTTGCATACCTATAAATAACTATCTTAGTATTTTATTTTTTTTTCAGCACTCCAACTTTGATTGATCAGAAGTTAATTTTAATAAAGTTTTATTGGTATAAATAAATTGTAAAGCAATGGATCTTAAAATGGCAAAGAATTTGTGCGAGTGTTGGTGTTGCTCAGCACCCAAAAAGCAGTGTATAATCAAAGTTAGTTGTCCTTTTCATGAGCGTGGCTAGTGGGCCTGTGATGCAATTGCGATTCCATATTTGGGCCTACTTAGTTAATAATTGTTTGGTTATCTTTATTTCCACCCCATTTTATTTTATTATAAAAAAAATAAAAAAATCACAGAAAATAGATTAAAAAATCACTGTATTTAGATTAAATCGCATTTTTTTTTTATTTGGCAATTTAATTGTAACATTTCAATTTTGAAAAGAAAAGAAGCGCACTTCAATTTTCGTAAATTGAAACACACAGTCCACAAATCGACTTCTAAATGGTTACGGTGTGTTTGTAAAAGAAACAATTTAAGTGAATTAACTAAAAGTGAGTTTTTTTTAGTTAATTAGGGTTAATTTAGAAAAAGTTGTATAGTTAGTTGTTAGTGGAATTTTAAATTTATATTAAAATAATATTTAAAATAAAATAATTAAAATTGATTTGATATAAAAGTAGGGGAGAGATGATATAAAATGATGGTTAGTTAAAATTATGTGAGTGGATAGTGAATTAAAGTTGATATGATGTGTAAAAATGATTGGTTGTTATTATTTTATTATATTGATAATATTGAGGATAGTGGGGTTGGGTTAAAATTGAGTTAGATTTTGACTATGAATTAATTTGGATTGAGTAAATCTTCTTACAAACATAGCCTTAGGTGTTTAACTCATTATGTGATACGGTACACTACAACAAAATTATAAAATTCCAACAGAAAGCTCTAATATAAATATATTTTAATGAAATTCCAACGGAAATTCCAACAAAAATATTCCGTTGGAATGCATTTTTCATTAGATTTTGACAATTCTAACGGTAGATTTTCCAACGGAGGTGAAAATAAAAATTACAACGGAAATTGCATATTGCAATGAAAAAGTCATTCCAACGCAATATTTTCATTGGAATTTTCGTTGAAATCGTTCCAACAGAAGCTATACCATTGAAATATCCGATAAAATCTACGTTGGAATATATTATCGTATGATTTCCCGTTGGAACATAACAATTTTTTTGTAGTGGTAAGAGAGAAGAATGCAACTTCATTTTTTTAAAAGGAAAATGCACAACTTATAAAAGAATTGGGGCTTTTGAAAACCTGATTTGTAATGGTTGTGAAAAATTGAGAAATTTTAAATTCCCGTGCATGTGCATCTTAATCGAGAGTGAATGACAATACATTGAAAAAAGACACCGATAATAAAATTTAGGTCAAGCACAATAAAAAGCATAAGGTTTATGAAATTTTATGCGTGAAATAAGAACATGATGAAACGCAACCTTAATTTTTTTAAATAAAATTTTATTTATTTGTGACATGTCGTCTCCACTTCTTCATGTTAAATAACGAATCAAACACGTAAACACCTGACACTCAATTTGTTGACTGCATATTGCGATTTGTAAATATTAAATGCTGGTACCTTTTATTGCCAAAATTTAAAAAGTTGACATAATAGTGCTAATGAAACAAAAATTAAATTTAATTTACAATTTGGCCTATTATTATATTTATACATATACAGGAGCACGAGATCACATAAAATTTCCTATTAGGTAGTAGTAAGACCCATACTTTAGCTTGGACCAAAACACAGAATTGGTACACTGTGGTGTTAATTTTTGGTGGACCGCTTAATTCAATACACAGCACAATTGCATGAGATATCAAACTATATAAAGTGCTCACTGTCATATTTTATCTTTTATTTAAATATATTTAATTATGTCTGAGTTCTGCATTTTTATACTTATACTCTAACACATACTTGTACCGTATAATTAATTTTTAGGTATGCAAAATTTTAATTTTTAGTGACACTTAATTTTCTATTTTTATATCATTATATGGGACTTTTGGGCTTTGTGAGTTTTGCTTTTAAATTTTACCATTTAATTTTTCAAAATGAGCAGTCTATTTTTCACAATACTAGTGTGTACCCGTGTGATGTACGAAAACAATATGCTAAATAGACATCGAGTTTGAGTCACTCAATGGCGGAAGTAGAAACTACTATTGATCCTATTTAAAAAGAGGAAAAAAAAATTATAAATTAAAGAGGAGGATAAACAATATTTAATAATTATAAATTAAAATTATTTTGTATAAGGGAATATAAAAAAAATTGATTACACACCATTTTAAAATTATTATTATATTTTTTTGTATGGTTAGCTTATAATATTTGTAAAAATATTAGTAATTAGACCGATAAAAATTAGCTTCTTAAAGTAGATAATGAATTTCTAGTAGTAATTATGAATTGGTTACTATTTTATTTTATTTTTTCTTTTTAAAGATAATGAATTTCTAGTAGTAATTATGAATTGGTTTCTATTTTATATTATTTTTTCGAAAATGTATAGATAAGGGATGAGATTTTTTAAACACGTGAGATGTATGCAATAGGATTTTGTAACTCGTGTAGATTTATACTAAAAATAGGAAAAAGAAAAACAAATATTTATTGTCAAAACGGTTTTGATAAACTAAAAAACAGGAAAAAGAGAAATAAATCTTTACACAATTAATGAGCCGATTTTTTTGCCTATTCAGATTTGTCCAACAATTATTATATATAGAATATATTTAATGATTTTGGCGGGAAAATGTTTCTAAATTTATAAAAAAGTTATTCTTTTTATATAATGATAGATTTCAATCTAACACTTGTTCAACAGTTCCATTTTGGGCCTCAAATAAGGGAATGAAGACAACAATGCATTGGATCTGATAAATGAGAGGATATATCAATTTCAAGCCCAAGCTCTAGGCCTGAGATCATGAGATGCCTGCACATAGGGTTATTGCGAGTCCAAGAATCCCCTGCAAACAGGCCCACCATATCAACTGTGCTCTAGATGTTGAGCAGTGAGATTGTAGAAACAAAACTTAAGCACTGATTTTACATGTATCAAGAGGTAGAGACACCTCTGAATAGTTGTAACAAATGAGAAAATCCATATTTTTACAATGGCATGTCTATGGTTTCAAAAGACTAAACATAAAACTCTATTAAATATTGGTCAAGATAGACATTTTGAATATGAAAATATATATTTATGTTCAAAATGTACTGATGATGATGATCAAATTTACTCGGCTAACCAATTTTTATTTGGTAGGCCGACTGACAATAAATATATCAGTAAAGATTAAAGACAAAGATAGGGAAAATTTGAACCTATCGGTAACTGTAATGCAGTCACCGAGTTTTTTATTTTACAACAATATACAAACATATAAACCTAGTTACCTTATAAGTGTGTTGATATAATGGTGAAAAACTCTCCACTCATATGGTGAAACTTATCTTAAACGGAATCTTACATATGTTATATCTATTTTGAGATTAAATATGCGTAATCCATATATTGTGTTATTATGTTGTTTAGCCAAATTATGTGATCAAATTATTGTAGAGAAACTAGTATGGAACCCGTGCGATGCACGAGCTGTATTTATTTTGGAGAATATTATAAATTGAAGCGTATTAATAGTTAACATATTGATAATTCATAGGGAAATTGTCAAATAATAAAATGTTGCACATGAAAAATTATGCTTATTTAAAAAATTATCAAAATAAGCTTATGAGATAAACTCAAACTTATTTAAAAAACTATCAAAATAAGCTCATGAGATAAACTCAAACTTTTTAAATAAGCTTGTCCATCACCTCAAACTTATTTAAATTTATAAAACTAATAAACTAACAAAATTAACTATAAACTAATTATATAAATTATAAGGATTACCAAACATGCTGTATGTAACATGAGAGAATGGTCCTTCTCAATAATCGAATGGTTCAAAATGACACATGGCCACCGCGTATTAATTCAGATTTCAAACTACCAATAGAAAATTCCAACAATATCACTTAGTCAATTATCATCATTTGATTTCATTAACTATCGATAAGAATTCGCTAGGTGCGCCCTCATTAGTCATAAGATGGCTAATAATTACACAAATCTAACGCCACAAATTTCAAATTATAATGTTGAATATTTATACAAATTATTAGTATTAATTAATTAAGTATGTTCACACGCTTGTCAAGAGCTAGTTACTTTATTTGCGTAGTTTGATTATTGTGCACTCATGCAAGCAAACTATCAATGATTTTGTACCACAAAATTAATTTATATTTATATTTATCTAAAAATATCGATTGAGAAAACATGATATCTAAACCTGACTAAGAAAAAACCCGACTAAAACCTTCGTAACTGTGTGAATGAACGAGAACAGAGGACAGTGACCTTTGGGTCCCTACACCGTTCAACTTTTACCGGCGGTCGCTGTGACAACCGATCCATATCAAAGATACCGGCCATAGACCTTCATCTCCCTTATGTATCTCTATCTACCTCCATTCATTTTCCACCGCTCACAAACAAAATCAAGGAAAAAAAAAATGCAGATCTTTTACAGACAATTATCCAGCTTCTTATCGAAAATGGTAGCTCTACTCTCTCCATCTTGAGACCGAGCTTCCCGGAATAATCTAATCCTCGCGCCCGATCATGTTACGGGATGAAAATCTCATCCCCACCGTCCACTTCGCCGCCGTATTCTTTTACCTTCTGTGCCCTAATTTCATTTCGGCACAGGGCAACCCTTCCCCCGGCAACCCGTGCGATTCGTACGGCGTGTGCGGTGCCTTCGGCTTCTGTAACCCGCAGAGCTCTCCGATTTGCTCGTGTCTGCCGGGGTTTTACCCTCGGACCCGGGCGGAGTGGGATTCGGGTAATTGGACAAGCGGGTGCGTCAGGCGGGACCCGCTGAACTGCAACGGCACGGCTGACGGCGGAAGGGAGGACGGGTTTCTGAGGCTCCCGAGGATGAAGATGTCCGGCTACTCGGACCGGTGGCCGGGCACGGAGGACCAGTGCGGAGGTCGGTGCTTGAGTAACTGCTCGTGCATAGCTTTTGGGTTTGATGTTGGGATTAGGTGCATGTTCTGGAGCACCGGGACTTTGATCGACATCCAGAAGTTCCCGAACGGGCCGGGCGGGTCGGATCTTCATATTCGAGTTGCAAATTCTGAATTAGGTAAGTCTTCTTCTGTTTTTTTTTTTTTNGATTTCTGTAGCTTTGCAGTTGGAGCAATTATCATTACAGTAACTGTGAGATGAATGATGTGGTAAAACTGCCATTTTTACATGGTTTTGTGGTAGAATATCTGACAGGAGGAATGTTAGTGACTTCTGAGGGGATTAAATCTAAGTCTAACTATAGTTCTTCTTTGCTGCAGATGGTAAAAAGGACAGTAAGATGACTGTGATAATTGTGGTTGTTTTAGTTGGCTTTGTTGTTGTTTCTGTGTGCTCGTTTTTTATTTGGAAATGGAGGGCTAAGCGTAGAGGTAATACATATACATATATTTGTATGATCAAACACTAAATTTAGTAAATTCTGCATTTTTTTCTTCCCTTTGTCCGCTTAGTATATGTCATGTTGTTCTGAATTAGCCCAAAGAAGAGCAAGTGAATTTACAGAGGCAGGTGAATCCGGTTCACTCGATTACTCTCTCCAGGACACAATGCGCCGCCAAGTCAATTTTGAAGAATTACCATTGTTCAAATTCGAAACACTTGCAAATTCAACCAACTTCTTCTCGGAAGCTAACAAGCTGGGGAAAGGTGGTTTCGGCCCTGTTTACAGAGTAATCCCTCGTGCTTTATGCATCTCATTTGATCTTAATCTTGAATTCGAAGCTTTTTGAATGCAGAAAGACTGAAAATGCAGCAAATTTGTAGGGAAAACTGGATAATGGGAGAGAAATTGCTGTTAAGCGACTCTCGAAAGCATCCGGGCAAGGCATACAGGAATTCATGAATGAAGTTGGACTGATTTCGAAGCTGCAGCACAGGAATCTTGTGAGGCTACTCGGAGGCTGCATCGAGAATAAAGAGACGATGTTGATATATGAGTACATGCCTAATAGAAGCTTGGACATTTTCCTATTTGGTCAGTTTTATTTGNATAGTTGTACTCCATATATCATTTCGGATTATACAAGTAAATGTGATTTTCCGTACAGACCCATCTAAAAATATCCTGGACTGGAGAACGCGTTTCAACATTATTGAGGGTATATGTCGAGGCCTCCTTTATCTTCATAGGGATTCAAGATTGAAGATAATCCATAGGGATCTAAAGCCTAGTAATATATTGTTGGATCATGACTTGAACCCAAAGATTTCAGATTTTGGGATGGCAAGAATATTTGGAACAAAACAAGATCATGTCAGCACTGTGAGAGTGGTTGGAACCTAGTAAGTGTACATATTGCGTACAATTTAGTGTATAATCAAAAGATGTCCAAGCTAATTAATTATATTATTAATATTTTTTCTTCAATTTTGTTCTTGCAGTGGATACATGGCTCCAGAGTACGCCATGGAAGGAAGATTTTCAGAAAAATCTGACGTTTTCAGTTTAGGAGTTCTGATAATAGAGATTATCACCGGGAGAAGGAACACGAGTTTTCAAAGTCAACAAGGATCTGTGAACCTTTTGGGGCATGTGAGTCAACTCAAAAACTCAATTTTGCCAATGCTGTAAAAAATTCAAATCAAAAGCTAAAATCAGAAACATAAAGCACCGATTAAATGCAAAAGTCAACATTTTTATTATTCTTTTTTGAAATTTCGACACTATATTGGAACTTTTTCAGGTGTGGAAATTGTGGAATGAAGGCAATATTGCGGCTTTCATTGATCCGAGAATATATAACGAAAATTACGAATTGGAGATCATGAGATGCGTACACATAGGGTTATTGTGTGCCCAAGAAGCTCCTAAAGAAAGGCCATCTGTTTCTGTTGTGCTGTCCATGTTATTAAGCAAGACTATGGAGCTTCCCGAGCCAAAGATCCCGGCTTTTAGCATGAAATCGAGCCGTACGGAAACAGGCACGAGCTCTTCACAACAGAGCCAAAAGAGTAATAGCTCTGTGAATAATCTTTCAATAACCATGGTCGATGGACGCTGATGATACAGAGAATGTTAGTGTATTTATGCCTTGCTAAATAGAAAATTAGAAGTTTCTGTTGAGTTTTGTTGATTTAGTTTTTCATTTTTTTGCTTACAGACTTACAATATTTAGTTATAAAAATATGCATGTTTATATTGTGAAATGTTGTAATTTATTTATATTGTCTTTTAGACAATTATATTTCTTTTTGAAAGTATAAATGTATTATCGTCTAACTGACATGTCTCTCTAACAATAGCTTTATCTTTAAAAAAAATATATTATTTTTTTTTTTATTTCTTATTTTTGAATTGGAGCTATTTATAAGAAGTGAAATCTAAGGATATGATAATGGTAATTAGTTGAAATTGAAGTTCACATGTGAACACAATAATAGGGCTTAAGAAATATTTGACTCGGATGGATTGAATTTTTATGTGGGTACATAACATACCTCATTTTCTTGTCTTTTTTCTTTCTCCTTCTAATTTTCGTGGTATACTTGGTATCTGCAATTCACTACACTTCAGTTTTCCATTCGCATTGTGCTTTTAATCCTCACTCTGCTTTTCGCAAACTTCATACTATGGATGCCAATGAATAAGTGAACCACCATAATTTTCTCAAACAAGAACTTCTAAATATCGAAGAATTCTGGAAAAAAGTTTCTAGGGTGTAAAAATTGAGAAAAAAGGAGACGGTGGATTTTTTATATGGGAAGAACAGACTGAGAGCAGTAATTGTCAACATCATGCAAATCCGATTCCACAAATCGAGCAAACAATTGCAGTGATGGAAGCTAAACTAAAAGCCATGGATGAGAAAATTGAGTTTCATGTGAAGGTGATGAAGGAAATTTTCGAGGATAGAGTTATTGCTTTTTTTATTATGTCATTGTAATTCTTAAATCTTAGATTCTACAACCTTTTTGTTTCAGCAGAATGTATTGAATGTTATGTAAGCCTTCAATTTAATAAAAATGCCTGTCTACTTTGTGTTGATCCCTAAAATTAACTCAGTATGTTCTCTTAGTCAATATAATGTCAGAATACATCTCAAGAGTTAAAAACACCATAAACTACAACAAGCCAACATCGCAAGATACATACATTTCAGAAACAAATCTTTACATTTTAAAACAATACCTAATGTCAACACCCATACACAAGACAAAGGCAATACAAAGTCAGCACAATTGCAAAGGTGGTTCAACTTGAAAATACTCAAAATATAAAGACAAAGCACAAACTGCTTAAATTCAAAAGACAAAGTGACATACCACTTCCTGATTACAATACTGAATCTCCAAAACAAAGAAGACATGTTGATATTACATGATCTCTTTTCCTTTCCCTTTTTGTTTGGGGCCAACCTTGGGATTGTTCAAATAAGCAACCTTAACAGAAATATATTTCTTGCCATTTTCATTAAAAATTTCCTCCAGTCTTGTGTCTTGTATCTGTCTCTACTCTTGGCTTGGGATGAAGTGTGGACCTACAAATACACTTGGGACTCTGATATTGACTCTAAAAACCGTTGAAGAGCCTTGGTAAAGTAGTTGTTGGTACTATGACTGCAAACAAGTTGAGTAACTCACGAGCCGTTCACGAGCGCTTGAGTCAATGCTCGACACGAGCTCTATCAAACTCGAGCTCGAGTTGAGCTCTATCAGTTCAATCGAGCAAACGAGTCCAGCCTCAAGCATCATTTTAAGAGTCTCGTAAGCTTGACGAACTGCTTCAACCTTTTCATAAGTACCCCATATAGTTTAATTATCAATAATAGAAACAAAGCTTGTCTATTTAAATTAAATAGTACCAGTATATTTAAAATTTAGTTGTTAAAATTTCAAGCTGAACTTGAGTCATGTCCAACATGAAGACTGTCTCGAGCATTCTTATTATTATTTTTTCTAACGAGTCGAGTCGAGCGCCATTTTAAAAGGCTCGTTGAGTTAGAGCTCGAGTTGTGAAGAAAAAAGTTCAAGTTGCGCTCGACAAGGTCCATGCTCAACTCGACTCGACTCGTTTGCAGCTCTAGTTTGTACACTGTTGGAGCTGGTTTCAATTGCAATAAGTTTTTTTGTCACTTTTAATTTCTTTATTTATGGGTTGCACCTATCACATGACCAATGGTCACAACTAAGAACAATAATAAAAGAATAATTAAATTACTTA